ATATATATATATATATATATATATATATATATATACACGTACAGACAAGAAGTGGGAGAAACGGATATGTTCCGGCGCTGGAAATGGGAGAGAAAACAAAAGAAAAAATAATAATCATAAGAGGGGAGAAAAACAAAAAAAAGAAGAATAAGAGGGAATGCGTGACCCACACGTCCCAGGGTGGACAGACACAACGTAAGGAGGAAGGCAGTAGATGAGGAGGAAAGGGGAGAAGTGGGGGGGCGCACGAGCGCAGCGTCTTGATCCAACGGCAACAACACGAAGAAGAATAAAGAGATGCCAAAGTAGTGAGTGGCGTTTGAGTGGGGGGTGGGCGAAGAAATATGAGACGTTTTCTTCTTTTTTTCTTTGTTGCTCTCTTTGCAACTCCGTCTATTCTGCGCACTTCTGAGCCTTATCGGCGGCGACGGCGGAAGGGAGGATAATTTTTGCCCTTTTGTCCCCCGCCTTGCCTCTCCTGGACGTGTGTGGTGGGAGGGGAGAGGAGGGGGGAGGTTGTGCTTCATGGCCGAAACCACGCGCTGCGTCACCGTTGCGTCTCCATCTTTCCGCCTTGCCTTTGACGACGCTAAGGAGGTGCGATAATTTCTCAACTTCGTTCGAAGCTTGTTCCTCCTCGCTCCTTCTTTTTTTTTGTTTTGTTTTGTTGTTTGTTGTTGTCTGTGATGCTGCACGCCCCATTTATTGTTTCATATATTTGTATTTGTTATTATTATTATTTATTTACACTTCTCTCCGCCTCGCGGATTTTTCTCGTGGTTCCCGTTTTTTTCTTTTTTTTTTGTGTGTACGTGTCTTGTTTTACTGTTACGCCTCTTTTGCCTTTGCCTATCTCGCTGTGTGTGACCGCGTGCCTGGTGCCGTGCTTTTCGCTTTGTGGAGGGGTCAACTGAGGTGCAACACCTGCACGCATGTATCCGCTGTGATCACGAGAGGGGGAGGAGGAGGGGGATAGACGCCGTCCCTACGTGTGTATACATGTATATGTATGCATGCATTTACTTGTAGATATGCATGTAGATGATGTTTGGTTGTTGTTGTCGTTGTTTTTTTTTCCCCAAAAAAAAAATATACGACGAAAAAGAGGAGGAGAATGCGGAAGGTAAAGAAGAAAAGGAAAAAAAAGAAGTAACAAAAACAAAACAAAAAGAAGAAAAAACAAAAGAGAGAGACAAGAAATGGGAAATAACGCAGTAAACGGGATGGTACTAATTGCAGCTACTACTATTACTATTATTGCTTCTATTACTATTACGGATGTTAATAATATTAATGGATGATTATGAGTGGGAGCCATTGCTGATACCAGAAGGGAATAACTGCTACATAATAACGTGGAAGCTGAGAAGACGAAGAACCGCAGGTGCTGCAAAAAGAAAAAGAAAACCAGAGAAGCGGAATGAAAGGGGGTTCCTATTGAGGCAGCGTGGGAAATGACTTGGGGGGAAGGGGGGTGGACGCGTGGTGTTTGTGGCTGTGCATGAGTAGTGCACATATGCAACAATGATGGTGAAAACCGGGAGGGGAGGGGGTTTAATGGATACCAACAACTGTCACAGCAGCAGCAGCAGGAAATGGGAGGCGGGTGGAGTCAAGGGAATGAAGAGGCAATATAGAAAAAGTGAGCGCAGCGAGGAAGGATGGGGGGGGGGGACTGCCGGCCTTACAAATAGGCACCATCGCCTGGAACGAAGATGAAACATGGAAGGAAAAACAGCGCATATGTCTACGCGCTCTTCCCCTGCGCAGCGAGATCTGCGGCGGGAAAGACAGTGAACGCGAAACATAAACGCGTTCACGCACGTGTGACCCCGATCGAAGGTAACGCCAAACAAGACACATTGCAATAGACGGTTGCGGCTCAGCTGAACAGTCCTTGCCGTGGGCTCGCCCATATATCTTTGCACAGCCAATTGTCGTTTTTTCTTCTTCACTTTTTCCAGTACAACTCATGTGCTTTGCTGTTGTGTTGGGAGGAAGCGGAGAGAGTGGCCGGGGCGTAGCTCCTACGGAAGAGGGAGGAGAGTAAAGACGCATGTTTACGTGCAGTTCTTTTTTCTCTCTCACTCCCTTCGCTGTTGTTGTTGTTTTTTGCATGGCTGTACCTTCTGGACTACGGTGGGGAGGGGAGGGGAAGGGGTGGTGCGTGTCGCGGCTTCGTATTACTCCCGCCTCACTGCTTTTGCCGTTGCTGTTATGCAGCGTTGTTGCCTTTGCTCTTTCCCCCCTTCCCTGCCGGACAACAACCAACATCGCTGGCTGTGGACAACCGCCGCGGTGGCCTATCTTTTGCGTTTACCGGTTTGTGTTGAGTCGTCGTGTCGCTTGCGTTTTGTTCACAGCAATGTTCTGCACGTGTACAAAAGAGGGGCGTGTGGAGGGAGAAGAATGCGGGAGGAAAGTGGATTGGCGCGTCTCCCCACACCGATGTGCATCGACGGCCGGCCGCGTTGCTGCGCATGTCCGCATGCCTGACGGCACGCCTTTCTTTCCGCCTCTCCCTCTCTTTTCGCATTTTTCTTCGTGTGTCTGTGCCTGAGGGTTCCTCACTAATGAGCGTCGTTGTTGTGGTCATTGTTTTGATGGACTTGCGGTTTGGTTCACCCCGCCCCGCTGCCGCTGGAGTGCGTAGACTCCCCGCGTGGATGTGAGCGATGGAGATTCTGAAGAGATGCCCTGGGGGGAGGGGGGGGGAGCAGGAAAAAAAAAACAGCAGAAAGAAAAAAGAAAGGGAGTTAAACGCTCCACCCGACAAAAAAAAAAATAGCGGCCACTCGGCGCCC